GTGGTGATCGCCTTCGTCGTGCTGTGTATATTAGTTTGTTAGTTACTCTGTGTTATAGGCACTTACCGATAGACACTGTGTATGTGTGTGTGTGTGTGTGTGTGTGTGTGTGTGTGTTCTCACCTAGTTGTACTCACCTAGTTGGGGTTGCAGGGGTCGAGTCCAAGCTCCTGGCCCCGCCTCTTCACTGGTCGCTACTAGGTCACTCTCCCTGAACCGTGAGCTTTATCATACCTTTGCTTAAAGCTATGTATGGATCCTGCCTCCACTTCATCGCTTCCCAAACTATACCACTTCCTGACTACTCTGTGGCTGAAGAAATACTTCCTTGTATGTCGTTATCATGTCCCCCCTATCTCTCCTGTCCTCCAGTGTCGTCAGGTTGATTTCCCTTAACCTCTCCTCGTAGGACATACCTCTTAGCTCTGGAACTAGTCTTGTTGCAAACCTTTGCACTTTCTCTAGTTTCTTTACGTGCTTGGCTAGGTGTGGGTTCCAAACTGGTGCCGCATACTCCAATATGGGCCTAACGTAGACGGTGTACAGGGTCCTGAACATTTCCTTATTAAGATGTCGGAATGCTGTTCTGAGATTTGCTAGGCGCCCATATGCTGCAGCAGTTATTTGGTTGATGTGCGCTTCAGGAGATGTGCCTGGTGTTATACTCACCCCAAGATCTTTTTCCTTGAGTGAGGTTTGTAGTCTCTGGCCCCCTAGACTGTACTCCGTCTGCGGTCTTCTTTGCCCTTCCCCAATCTTCATGACTTTGCACTTAGTGGGGTTGAACTCCAGGAGACAATTGCTGGACCAGGCCTGCAGCCTGTCCAGATCCCTTTGTAGTTCTACCTGGTCCTTGTCCGATTGAATTCTTCTCATCAATTTCACATCATCTGCAAACAGGGACAATTCGGAGTCTATTCCTTCCGTCATGTCGTTCACAAATACCAGAAACAGCACCAGTGCTAGGACTGACCCCTGTGGAACCCCACTCATCACAGGCGCCCACTCTAACACCTCGCCGCGTACCATGATTCGCTGCTGTCTTCCAGACAAGTATTCCCTGATCCATTTTAGTGCCTTCCCTGCTATCCCTGCCTGGTCCTCCAGTTTTTGCACTAATCTCTTGTGTGGAACAATGTCAAACGCCTTCTTACAGTCCAAGAAAATGCAATCTACCCACCCCTCTCTCTCTCTTGTCTTACTGCCGTCACCCTGTCGTATAACTCCACTAGGTTCGTGACACAGGATTTCCTGTCCCTGAAATAGTGTTGGCTGTTGTTGATAGGCTTATTTCCTTCTTGGTGTTCCACCACTCTTCTCTTCCTCCTTCTCCTTCCTGTGTGTGTGTGTGTCTGTGTCTGTGTAATGTATTTACATAATTAAAAAAAATTCACCATTGAAAACTAATTCACTTTTCCTATCAGTCAATAATTTACATGTCATAGTGAATATTTGGCTTTAGAAACACCCAACTTAACTTAATATTATTGAAGTATTTCCGGTATATGGAAACTCAGATTTGGAGAATAATATATTTTAAAGTACCTTATATATAGGTATTTGTTTATGTACCCCAACGATATTCTTCATGAAAGAAATAAGACAAAGAAATTTTATCTGAAAACACTTAATGGAGCAAACAGGTCTTACGTGCCATAATATAATTTATTTTTATATTATTAAGTGGCGAATGTAAGGTACACAAATTATTGTATATTGTCTTTTCCAGAATCATGTCGTTGACAGAGGCTGGGCTGTACGACCAGTGGTTTAAATATATCGTGCCAAATGAGACTTCCTGTATATATTTTCCCACCAAGATAACAGTCAGCACGTCCCTCTCGCTCGATAACTTATGGGTAAATCATTTAATTAATAGCACTCAAAGATCAATTTTATTGCAGATATCTGTAACCGAGTATAAAAATCACCAATGATATTTTGGAAAATTTTTGTAACTTGTTTTCGGTATAGAAACATTTTATAAGCCAGTTTTATATTAAATAATGAAGAGGATTTTCGCATTTCTTAGTGCGTCATCAGGAGCTATGCAATGTTGCAAGGTTGCAGCTGAAGGGGTGAGGGGAAGTTTTTTCTCAGAATAGCGGAGAGTGGGTCTGTCGCCTTCTCCTGGGCTCTCCTAGAATGTGGCCAGCGGTCGGCGTCACACCCACCGCTGCCACCATCACCCATCTCCACCATGTAGGGTAAGAGGGTTTTGAGAAGTCAGCAAATATGAAATTAGAAGGTATAATAGTTCGCCCTAGGTTTTTTCTAACCGCTTAGAACAGATCCTGTGACTTGAGAAAATACGTTTCTCAAGGAATATTATGTATTTGGATTGCTATTATTTTGTGTAACCTATTTAATAAAAGAAAGGAAATGAATGTGCTTTTTGTCCTGTTCCTGAATTTTCTCAGGAGTACTGAGACGTACCCTATATATTGTCTACTATTCTCTTCAATACCGATTATTATGCCTTACTTAGGATTCTTCTATACCATTCCAATAATATTTCTATGATCCAGATTTCTACTTCTAATATCCTTTAACCCACTAGTTGTGTAATCAGGTAATCTTGTCAATGTATGGTGCAATCACAGCTAAACGTGTTATATAACCATACATCAACTGGCTTAGCATGGTGTTTTGGTACGTAGACACTGGTCGAGCATCACCAGTCCATCATGAGACCACCTGGCATAATTTTTTTATTTTTTTTATTTTATTTATTTATTTATATAGTAATTTTAGCATACATACAGAGGTACAAAAAATACAGGTAAGAGCAGCATGCCAAAGCCACTTATATGCATAGCATTACGGGCTGGCTTAAAATTAACTTAAGATTAACTAAGCAATGATGAAATCAGTGATAAAACATTATTGTAAACAGATAACTATAAAGCACAAATGAGTATTACAATGATCAATCCTGTGATTTTGTGTAGCGTTGTTATTTAAGGTTGTGTACAATAGTCTCTTCTAGATACCTTTCGAGCATGTATAACCCAAAATTTGAGTTATATACGGTATTCCTGTCATGTTTCAAGAAAGAAGATTCAATTATGATTCTTTCTCTGACAGAACTGTTTGGTACAATAATATGGGCAACATCCTAACCCGGTGGGTGATTACAGGAGCTAACGTGGTCAAAGATAGCGTTAGACTCATGCCCTGTCCTGAGTATTTATGTTGGGCTATTCTGGTTTTCAGAATTTTACCTGGTGGCCTGGTGGTTAACGCTCTCGCTTCACACGGCGAGGGCCTGGGTTCGATTCCCAGCCAGAGTAGAAACATTGGACGTGTTTCTTTCCACCTGTTGTCTATGTTCCCCATCAGTAAAATGGGTACTTGGGTGTTAGTCGACTGGTGTGGGTCGCATCCTGGGACACTGACCTAAGGAGGCCTGGTCACAGACCGGGCCGCGGGGGTGTTGACCCCCGGAACTCTCTCCAGATAAACTCCAGGTATATATGAGAGAGGACACTGAGTACATGGAACCTTGTAAACCCACCAATTTTGTTAGTGTGTTTTTAATCAACCTTTGTTTCACTATCCCCATGTTTTTGAAAGCAAGGTTTATACTGATCTTTTTTAATGCCTTACAGAAGCAAACCAGAATTTCTTTGTATGGTAAAACTAGTATATTTTTCCTAGCCATCATTTCCTTAGGTTAAGTCTCATATAGTCTTTTTTTCCTGACGATAGTGCCTTCTCAACACTAGTGCCTTCTCAACACTAGTGCCTTCTCAACACTAGTGCCTTCTCAACACTAGTGCCTTCTCAACACTAGTGCCTTCTCAACACTAGTGCCTTCTCAACACTAGTGCCTTCTCAACACTAGTGCCTTCTCAACACTAGTGCCTTCTCAACACTAGTGCCTTCTCAACACTAGTGCCTTCTCAACACTTAGTGCCTTCTCAACACTAGTGCCTTCTCAACACTAGTGCCTTCTCAACACTAGTGCCTTCTCAACACTGTGCCTTCTCAACACTAGTGCCTTCTCAACACTAGTGCTTCTCAACACTAGTGCCTTCTCAACACTAGTGCCTTCTCAACACTAGTGCCTTCTCAACACTAGTGCCTTCTCAACACTAGTGCCTTCTCAACACTAGTGCCTTCTCGGCACTTAAACAACAATGCTATACAAAATCACAGGATTGCTCATTATGCCAGATGAGTTGACGGATTGGTGATGCCCGACCAATATGTATGCAACAAAACTTCATACCACGTCACATGTGAATGGTTATATAATGCGTTTAGCTGTTAGTGTACCATACAGTAACAAGCACACAAGATTACGAGATAACATGAGGAGATGTTAAAGGGTATTAGTTGAAATTAAAAACTTAGATCATAGAAATATCGGAAAGGCATAGAAGATTCCCAAGTAAGGTATATTAACCGACACTGAGAAGAAGAGCAGACAATATTTAGGGATACTTCTGAGTACCTCAGTAGAACGTACAAGTACCCCTAAGCAGGACTTTTAAATGGATAAAGAGCACCTTCTGTTCCTTTCATTATTTACAAAAGTTTCACATAATAATAGCAATCCATGTGTATATTATCCCACGAGAAACGTATTTTCTCAATCCACATGACCTGTTATAAACGACTAAGAAAAGCTTAGGGCTGGCTATTATATCTTATAATTTCAGAAACCCTTCTACCCCATATGGGGAGTAGGGGGTTGGTGGCAGGGTGGGGTTGGCACTGACCACTGACCACATTCTAAGGGTAACCGTGGGCGGTGACACATCCGCACTACGCTACTCTGAGAGATCTCTCCCTGTTTTAGTTGCTCTCTAGCAACATTACATAGTTCCTGATGACGCACTGAGAAGTGTGAAAGTACTTAACCTAAAGATTTCCACCCCACCGTGTCTTGTCTTGCATAGTAAACATCGCCCGTCTGCAACTCTATATATATATATATATATATATATATATATATATATATATATATATATATATATATATATTATATATATATATATAATATATATATATATATATATATATATATATTAATATTTTATTAATTTAACAATATGGAAGTGCTGGCACCACAATCTCTTTAATATAAAGTTGTATGTTGCAAATACCTAGCTTCTTTCGCATTACAGGGCATGTTTATGATCCTGGTCGGTGGTCAAGTAGTGGCCGTGTTTGTACTGTGTATGGAGAGCAGCAGTAAGTTCATCTCTGTCGACTAAATTACTCCGCCGCAAGTGAGCCGAAGTATCTTTTATCTCCGGGTTTCCATATACAAGGTGTTTCATAAAGTTTAAGTTAAATAAAGTTTGTCAGTCAATAAAAGATACAGTTTGCAGCTAACAATAAATAAAACTTTAGTGCATTATCTAAATGTTTTGTATTGGTCTCAAATAAAAATTAAATGAAACAGCAAATGCTCGGTTATTTACCAGTCAGTCCGGAATGTTTTTTATTCATTATAAATAAAACAGATCGAATAAAATGCATTTGTTTACGCTCTGATAGTATATTGTCTAATTTACCAATCAACTTACAACTCAAAGATCTCCGGGTCACTACAGAAAATTTTCCTTCACAAATGAGTAATTTCGGAAGAGGTTTACTTATTGGTTCTTGTACTATCGCTGCTTTTCTCGCAAGAATGTGGCTACAGCTTAGAATGGGTCAATATGAGCTGTTGGTACTCAGTTCAAGACTGAGCTGTCTATTACATGCTATTGTAAAGATAGTGACAAATCTTTGATTTGTAATAAAAGATTTTAAAGGAAAAACTCTTTCTACCACAATAAATTGTGGAAGTGAAGTGATGACAAGACTGTCATGATGACAAGACTGTCATGATGACAAGACTGTCATGATGACAAGACTGTCATGATGACAAGACTGTCATGATGACAAGACTGTCATGATGACAAGACTGTCATGATGACAAGATTGTCATGATGACAAGACTGTCATGAAAACAAGACTGTCATGATGACAAGACTGTCATGATGACAAGACTGTTATGAAGACAAGACTGTCATGATGACAAGACTGTCATGATGACAAGACTGTCATGATGACAAGACTGTCATGAAGACAAGACTGTCATGATGACAAGACTGTCATGAAGACAAGACTGTCATGATGACAAGACTGTCCAACCCTGGCAAAAAAGTTGTATGTAGAGCTAGTTGGGAAACAGATTCATATATACAAGGGCTCTATTGCTAATTAGATTGTCTAGGTTGCATTTTAGTTTGTTTTTGAGCTAATTACAAACTCATTACGTTCTATGTTCCCACAAAGAAACAATCAGACAGCCTAAACATTTATGGTTAGCTAAGCTAACAAATGTGGTAGACTGACAGTTTTTGGCTTCCAGCCACATATTTTCATGGATTTTATTTTTTGTGATATACGATGAATTTAGGTCGAGTGCCAGTAACAAAGAGCCCAATGAGCTGCAGTGCCACGCATACATAGTAATGCTCATGGCGCATGGTAGTGGTGGTGGTGGTGAGGGACAACTATCCCCCGTGTATATATAAGCCAGACTAACAGCTGTGGACAACACTTCCTTGTTGCTGCTACCACGGTACGTGAAGCACTGTGTGCAGGACCTGCTTAAGGTATTGTCATTTCTGCACCAGCATTCTATTTTTGTAGCGTGTATATAAGAGATATTATTGAGATAGCCTGTGATAGCTCTGACATATTTCCTCTTGTTTATCATTTTCTTACCACTTTCACTTTTATTGATTTGCATTATGGGTATTTATATACTTTCTTACATTGCTTGATAACTGGTCATACTGAGTTTTCTTGAACACGTAACTTAATTTTCTTCGCTGATGATTTAAAATACATTTATGTAAAATTAAATTTTAAATATTCATTACAACTATCTATTATTTTATTTGGTGGTAAAAATGTTGCCTCTGATGACCACTTTATTGTCTGTATATACACAATGTGATACGTTATAGTGTGTTATACACGCGTAAACGAATCTCTGAACCAACAAACCTTTCCTATCTCCGTGGAGGTTGGTGGAAGGGGTTTCATATGTAGTTACGTACATAGTTTAAACAGTTTAAAAAGTGTTCAGGTATAATGAGGTGGGTTGGGAAAATTATGCCTAGGGAGCAGTTTATAGTAATTGTGCAAATGAATCCGTATTCAGATGTTCCTCTTAATATTCATGTCATTTAAAACTTAATATTTTTCCAGCTTTTCATATTTTAATGCTGACTTTCACAACACACCCGCACACACCCGCACACACCCTCACACACCCGCACACACACACACACACACACACACACACACACACACACACACACACACACACACACACACACACACACACGAGACATGTAGCTCAGTGGTCAGGGTGTTAGTATTAAAATCCCTCACATCCTGAGTGGATTCCCGGGTCATGAGAGAAAGTTATATCTTCTTAAACTGTCCTCTCATCTTCCGGCCTCTTAATAACAGTCTGTATTTCACTGTTGCTAAGACAATCAGATACGTAACCTTTCACATGCCTTAAACTGTTATGTAACTATATTTTCTGGTGTGTTCAGTGGGGCTTTGTGTTCAATCCAGAACTCACAACTTTTCATTAACATTCTTACGTTTCATTTATTGGCCTTTTGGAATTATTGGTTATTTTTTTATTGAAAGACAACAGCGCAATGTAAGGAAAATTAACAATACTTAACATTTTCTGAGTAATAATATATATGGGGAATTGAACATTAAAATGGTATAAAATACCGACAGGTTGTTAGGTAAGACACATATGCAATATAAGACACATGTGCATATGTGTCTTACCTAACAACCTGTCGGTATTTTATACCATTTTAATGTTGCATATGTGTCTTACCTAACAACCTGTCGGTATTTTATACCATTTTAATGTTGCATATGTGTCTTACCTAACATATATGGGGAAATTCTATGTAATGAGTCGAGTGACGTAGCTGGCCTGGACGGTGACATATTTAATGTTTACATTCCAGATTATCACTGTTTCTTAAGATGACGGATTACAGTCCATAATCTTAGTAACAAACAGCATTTTACTGTTGCTGAAACTATCAAACTTTTCACTGTCCACAACAGTAACATATTGACTGCATAAAAATTCGGAGTTTAGTTTTTTTATAGATGATGGATTGCATGTTTACCTAGTGATAATTATGTATTTGGGTGGTAGACTCGTTATACCTAATTTCTCTTATTCTCTTAATGATGACTGAGTACCTGAGTGTTAGTCTTGTTTACCTAGTGATGACAAGATACCTGAGTCTTAGGGCCGTTCACCTAGTGATGACTAAGTACCTGGGTGTTAATCTTGTTCACTTAGTGATGACTAGGTACCTGGGTGTTAATCTTGTTCACTTAGTGATGACTAGGTACCTAGGTGTTAATCTTGTTCACTTAGTGATGAATAGGTACCTGGGTGTTAATCTTGTTCACTTAGTGATGACTAGGTACCTAGGTGTTAATCTTGTTCACTTAGTGATGACTAGGTACCTGGGTGTTAATCTTGTTCACTTAGTGATGACTAGGTGCCTGGGTGTTAATCTTGTTCACTTAGTGATGACTAGGTGCCTGGGTGTTAATCTTGTTCACTTAGTGATGACTAGGTACCTGGGTGTTAATCTTGTTCACTTAGTGATGACTAGGTGCCTGGGTGTTAATCTTGTTCACTTAGTGATGACTAGGTGCCTGGGTGTTAATCTTGTTCACTTAGTGATGACTAGGTACCTGGGTGTTAATCTTGTTCACTTAGTGATGACTAGGTACCTGGGTGTTAATCTTGTTCACTTAGTGATGACTAGGTACCTAGGTGTTAATCTTGTTCACTTAGTGATGACTAGGTGCCTGGGTGTTAATCTTGTTCACTTAGTGATGACTAGGTGCCTGGGTGTTAATCTTGTTCACTTAGTGATGACTAGGTACCTGGGTGTTAATCTTGTTCACTTAGTGATGACTAGGTGCCTGGATGTTAATCTTGTTCACTTAGTGATGACTAGGTACCTGGGTGCTAATCTTGTTCACTTAGTGATGACTAGGTGCCTGGGTGTTAATCTTGTTCACTTAGTGATGACTAGGTGCCTGGGTGTTAATCTTGTTCACTTAGTGATGACTAGGTGCCTGGGTGTTAATCTTGTTCACTTAGTGATGACTAGGTACCTGGGTGTTAATCTTGTTCACTTAGTGATGACTAGGTACCTGGGTGTTAATCTTGTTCACTTAGTGATGACTAGGTACCTGGGTGTTAATCTTGTTCACTTAGTGATGACTAGGTACCTGGGTGTTAATCTTGTTCACTTAGTGATGACTAGGTACCTGGGTGTTAATCTTGTTCACTTAGTGATGACTAGGTACATGGGTGTTAATCTTGTTCACTTAGTGATGACTAGGTACCTGGGTGTTAATCTTGTTCACTTAGTGATGACTAGGTACCTGAGTGTTAGTCTTCTTCACTTAGTGATGACTAGGTACCTGAGTGTTAACATAGTTTACCTAGTAATGACTAGGTACCCGAGTGTTAGTCTTCTTCACTTAGTGATGACTAGGTACCTGAGTGTTAACATAGTTTACCTAGTAATGACTAGGTACCCGAGTGTTAGTCTTCTTCACTTAGTGATGACTAGGTACCTAGGTGTTAGTTTACTTACGTGGGTCGCACCTTGGGAAGTGTGTTACAGTACAGGTAGTGATGATGAGATATCAGTTACGTAAGGATATATTCGTGAACATTATTATCACATTACACATTTAATGTTTCTATAAACAAGTCGATATAAATAAAGAGAACTTTCAAGGGAATCATAATGATCTTTGTTAATTTAACGCTTTATGAAAATTAAAAAAAACTTGGGTTTATTTATTCGGCTTAAAGTTAATCAGCTACATTAGGGTCATCAAGGCTGTATATCTCATAAGAACATAATTACTCAAAAAAAAAAAAATTATCAGTATAACAAAGATTAAAATAATTTGTTGGTGTATATTGGCTTAGATACACAGATCTTTGGGCATATATTGTTGAACTCGCTGGCTGGCTGGCTGGCTGTCTGGCTGGGTGGGTGACTGGCTGGGTGGGTGACTGACTGGCTGGGTGGGTGACTGGCTGAATGGGTGGGTGGTTGACTGGCTGGATGGGTGGCTGGGTGGGTGGCTGACTGAATGGGTGGGTGGCTGACTGAATGGGTGGGTGTTGACTGGATGGGTGGGTGACTGGCTGGGTGGATGGGTGACTGGGTGGCTGGGAATAGTGTTGTAGAGAATTACTTAAATAAAAACAAATATTAGAAAATCTGTACATAATATTCATCACTTTCCACTTGGTAGAAAGTGATGGTTTATATGGGGTGATGAACTGGGAACCCGGAACTGTAAGTCAAGTGAAATAGAATTTAGTGCATTTCTACTATGCAGGACACCTTTGGAGCTAGATATATACACAGTGAGGTGTATATCTTCGAGTATATATATATATATATATATAATATATATATATATATATATATATATATATATATATATATATAATTAGGCGTAGAATTAGGGGGATATAATCGAGGTGTATGAATGGAAAACAGGAATAAATAAAGGGGATGTAAATAACGTGCTGAAAATTTCCAGCCAAGACAGGACTCGCAGCAATGGTTTCAAGTTGGAAAAATTCAGATTCAGAAAGGATATAGGAAAGCACTGGTTTGGTAATAGAGTTGTGGATGAGTGGAAAAAACTCCCGAGTACAGTTATTCAGGCTAAAACGTTGTGTAGTTTTAAAAATAGGTTAGATAAATACATGAGTGGGTGTGAGTTGGACCTGACTAGCTTGTGCTGCTGGGTCTGGTGCAGTGCTCCATCCTTGAGTGGAGATGACCAGACTGGGGGGGTCATTGGGCTAATCCGGGGGGGACATGGACCTGCTCCGCATGGGTCAGTAGGCCTGTTGCAGTGTTCCTTCTTTCTTATATTCTTATGTTCTTATATATACAATATATGGAGCCTTAATGAGTGTAGTAGTGATAGGCTTTTGACCACGTTAACCATCTAATCAACCCCTTTGAATTATTAGTTTCACTGTTACATGAAAGTAACTGAGAGATCACCGACGTGGTTGTAATTCCATTACCTTTCAATATACACTGGCAAGACAGTGATGGAGTACTGATGAAAGTGTTTCTTCTTTCTCGAGTCACTTTGCCTCAGTGGGGTAACTGCCCATGTGTTAAAACAATAAAATATATATATGGAAACCAGCACTGCTTCTTGAAAAATTATTTATTCACGACAATTTTCGAAGTTAACTCACTTCATCATCAGAAAATTTACTTTAGGAATCAGGTTTAAACATATATTAAACATCAAATTACCATTAGCAATAGAAAAGGGAAAAGAATAAAGAATGTAAATAATATGAACCAAAGTTAGAAACAAAGTAACTCTACTACCAGTAAAGTTACTTTGTTTCTAGCATTAAGAAAACTTGTCTCTAATACCATAGAGCTGTTTCCAGCTCTATGGTATTAGATCAGTTGACGCTTAGTCTTACCAACATATATAACATTACAGCTGTGACAATTATATTTGTAGATGACAGAGGACTGTAATTAAACAGATATACTTGATCAATTACAGTCGTGTTTACGTAGGTGAAAGCTTGTTAGGTAAGACACATATGCAACAGTTAGGCATCTTTATTTCGAAACGTTTCGCCTACACAGTAGGCTTCTTCAGTCGAGTACAGAAAAGTTGATAGAAGCAGAAGATACTTGAAGACGATGTATCTTCTGCTTCTATCAACTTTTCTGTACTCGACTGAAGAAGACTACTGTGTAGGCGAAACGTTTCGAAATAAAGATACCTAACTGTTGCATATGTGTCTTACCTAACAATCTGTCGGTATTTTATACCATTTCAATGTTCAGGTGAAAGCTACTGGAGATACCATGTGACAGTTGACTCACGAAATCGTAATGACACGATTGCAAACAAACCATACCCCGGCCGGGATTGAACCCGCGGTCGGGATATGGTATTTTTTCATGTGACAGTTCCTTATTTTCTCATATCTTTCACTCCTCATAACTTATGATATTTTATTTCAGTGATCTAAATCAATTCCCATTAACAGAAATGTAACTTGTATTTAGAAAATTAATTTTGACCAGTCTTTGTATTTTTTTTTTTAGTTTTTTTTCTGGAAGAAGTTCTTTCTAGTGACTTCCTCTTGTATATATTTAAACAGTGTAATACATCTTACATTTTTGTAAAAAAATCTTTAAACTAATAAATTTTTCCTCGCTCCATTGAGGTTAGTGGACGAGATTTCATATGTAGATGATATACCAGTAATTTTGTACCTTATGTATAACGAGGTCGTTAGATAAAAAATTCCCGGGAAACACAGCAGACGACTGGAGGATCACATACATTATTTCAGCTGTGGATATTGTATTCAGAAATTCATATTGATATTCATGCTTTTTAAATATAAAATAATTTCACATTTCCCAAATTTCATAATGTACCGTAGTGCACACACGCTAACACATAAGTAATGTGTAACTCACTGGTTAGTGGATTTGGTTTAATATCCGAAATTAATGGATGGATCCTTAGGACTTGTTGAAAGACCTACCGTCCTTGTTCAACAAGTGATTAATTGGTATCTTGGTATTAGCCAACGATGCAACAATTATCTCACTCATATTGTAATTTCCAACTATACATTATAATTAATGGTTCTCCCATTGCCATGGAAAATAAAGGAATATTCCTTGATCTGTACCTTGACTGTAACTTGAAATTCAACACCCACATCCAACACATTACAAAAAACTTTTCAAAACATTTGGTATCCTCTCCAATTTACGCTACTATACCTCAAAAAGCCCTACTCACATTATACTACTTTCTAATCTAACGCTACCTTATCTCTGCTATATGTGTCTGGGGATCTACTACAACAAACTACCTTAAGCCAATAATACCTCAACAAATAAGCGGCAGTACGAATGATTGCTCATTCTATTGCAAAACAACACATTCCACCAACTTTTCAAAAGCCTAAACCTACTTAATAAACATAACATTCACTCTGTCTACTACATATACAGGATAAAAAACTCTATCAATCCTGACCTGAAAAATTTTCTTGATAGTTGTCACAGGATTCATAGGCGTCATACTAGACAAAAAAAAGCTCTATGATATTCTTTGTGTCTGACTTAACCTCTGAAAACACTCAGATTCATAGGCGTCATACTAGACAAAAAAAAAGCTCTATGATATTCTTTGTGTCTGGCTTAACCTCTGAAAACACTCAGTGTGCATAAAGGACCCAAAATCTGGAACTCTTTACCTGATAACTCCAGAGCCTCTTTATCTGTCTGTAGCTTCAAATTCTACAGAAAATAACACCTCATTTTCCGTATGTGATCCTAGTAACAATAAAGCTGAACAGTTCTTTCATGCTCTGTGACAAGGTGCAGGGTGCTGAAGATGATAAACAAAATAAAGATGGAGTATACATAGACTTTGCAAAAGTTTTCCACTAGTATGATTATGGTTTAATAGCACACAAAATGCGTAATAAAGGAATAACGGGAAAAGTTGGTAGATGTATCTATAACTTCCTGACAAATCGAACACAAAGAGTAATAGTAAACAGAGTCTGAGGCAGCTACGGTGAAAAGCTCTGTTCCACAGGGCACAGTACTCGCTCCCGTTCTATTCCTCATCCTCATATCAGACATAAACAGAGATGATACCCATAGCTCCGTGTCTTCCTTTGCGGATGACACTCGAATTACCATGGCAGTGACCTCCATCGAAGACACCGCGAGACTCCAAGAGGACATCAACCAAATTTTCAAATGGGACACTCAAAACAATATGAAGTTTATTGAAGAGAAATTTCAACTACTCAGATATTGAAAACTTGAGGAAATTACAACTGTATCAGGGTCTACAACAAATTTTAATAATACAATACAGCGAAAAACTAATATGAAGGACCTGGGACTGATAATGTCAGAGGATCTACCCTTGAAAGATCACTACAATGTGCTAGTAAAATGATAGGATGGATAATGAGAACCTTCAAAACTAGCGACGCCAAGCCCATGATAATTCTCTTGAAATTGCTTGTTCTCTCTAGGCTGGAATACTGCTGTACGCTTGCTCTTCATGGTACTCTGCCTTGACAAAAAAAATGAAAGATAGACTGCAGATCATTCAGAACAAAATCGTAAGATTCATCCAGGACCTGGGACCAAGAGAGCATGTAGGCCAGGATGAATTACAGCAGTTGGATATGCTGAATGATGAAGACAGAGTAAAACAACTGAAGCTAAATCATGTTTATAAAATTGCTCACAAACAATGTCCAGAATATCTTGCTGCCAATTTTGTCAAGGTTGGGAACCAAAGCAATCATAGCACTAGGGGGAGAGAGCACAACTTTGTAGTACCCACAGTCAGTGGCCAGGCGTCAAACACCTTTTATTGTACAGCAATAAAGGAATGGAACAGACTGCCCGCACATGTCAAAGCCAGTCATAGCATGAACCAGTTCAAGAAGAGTGCCAAAAGGCGTCTGATGAATGTAGTTACAGACAAGGAGGGGAATGAGTTTTTATTTTTTTAGCTAAAACACTTATAATTTTACTTTATTTCTAGTAATGACCCTCGTATAGTCCTAATAATAATGAAGATAATAAGATGTTATCTTCATTATAGAATAATAAGATATTATAACCTTCATATTATAATAAGGACCCATAATATGGTAAAAGGACCACAATGGAAATAAGTCACTCTGACTTTTTTGTGTTATCCCCGGTTCTCTACACATATGCTGCTGTGTATGATAATTTATGTAATGTATTTGTGTATACCTGAATAAATTTACTGTCTTACACTGACTGCCCCCTTCAAGGCAGGCGAAATTGCTAACCTGGAGAGTGTACAAAGAACTTTCACGGCACACATAAGTACGATACTTGGAGTATACCAGGAGAGGGTTCCGGAGGTCAACGCCCTCGCGGCCCGGTCTGTGACCAGGCATCATGGTGGATTAGGGTCTGATCAACCAGGCTATTACTGTTGGCCGCACGCAAACTGACGTACGAGCCACAGCCCGGCTGGTCAGGTACTGACTTTAGGTGCCTGTCCAGTGCCTTCTTGAAGACAGCCAGGGGTCTATTAGTAATCCCCCCTTATGTATTTTGATCCCTTAATTTGTATTCCCTGGAATGCAGACGAGAGAGATACATGATAATATACACTTGGAAAATTCTAGAGGGATTAATACCAAACTTGCACACGAAATTCACTCCCTATGAAAGCAAAAGACTCGGCAGGAGATGCAACATTTCTCCAATGAAAAGCAGGGGCGCCACGAGTACACTGAGAGACAACACCATAAGTGTCCGGGGACCAACACTGTTTAGCTACCTCTCAGCATACGTAAGGGGGATTACCAATAAATCTCTGGCTGTCTTCAAGAAGGCGCTGGACAGGCACCTAAAGTCAATACCTAACCAACCGGGCTGTGGTTGTTACGTCGGTTTACATGCTGCTAGCAGTAAAAACCTGGTTGATCAGACCCTGATCCACCACGAGGCTTGGTCTCAAACCGAGCCGCGGGGGCGTTGACCCCCGAAACCCTCTCCAGGTATTGATAGCAGATACCGCAGGTGCTCCTCATTCTTGGTTAGATAAACACTGTACGCTACACGACGGCCACGCGAGGTTCTTCAACAGCTCCTGAGATTCTTTCTTTCTGAGTCATCCGGATGCTTGCTCAAGAAATTTGCCAACAATAGCAGTCACCTGAAAACCTTATCGAAGTCTTCGTCATAAGGATCTCAAAAAGCGAACTTTGAGGACGGATGATATGGTTCAGAATCTCCTCTCTTAATAGCCTGTTGGCAAAAGGCTGCGACCGTCAAACGCTTTCTTGCAGACAGAATGAGGAGTAAAAAATACCAGTGTAATAATTTCCCTAGGAAAGTATCGCAGTTGTATTGCCAGCTTCTAACAACCTACTGGGAAATCTTTCAGGGAGTAATATGCTCACCATGAGACACACTCTTCTAAGTTTACATTTTCTGTGTATAGTCGAGGCTTCATTCGCCCTGTATATGGGGATTAATAGACGCAACCTCATCCTAAAATTCCTGTATATGGCGAGCAGCGCTGTGCGATCCGTGTTGGTTTATCGCTTAGTTTTGATCGTAATAACGTATATAGCGAGAATCTGGCTTTAATTGAAAAGCCTCATTACATCCGTATGGCTGTTTACACTAATTCTAATGCTTATGCGATTGTTTGAGTTTAGTTCATATAACATATTAAATATTTATTTCACAGAAGCGGTAGTATGCAGTGTGGAGTAAGAAGACCGCGGGCAACAGCAGATGAGTGTTCCCGGGTTGTCAGACTGTATTTATGCGGCTTGCCAGCGAGAGAACTCTCTCTTACATATAATATTAGTATGTGTACTGTGTACAGGTGGATAAAAAAATATAAGATGGAACACAGATTTGAGGGAAAATTAAATAGAAAGTTATTTCGTGATTTATATGCATGGAACTCTTCAGTTATCTTAACTAGACAAATTAGGCAGCTAATTAACATTGCGGAACTTTCTCGTTATTCAGGACAGTTGTCACAGCTGCCACATCATTACCAGCATCAACAGTGTGGCAACAAGCAGTCTGGCCAATAATATTAAATTTCATGGCACAATAGTTTAATAATATAAGCAGTGACGTGCTGTAAAAAAATAAAATATTAGGGTAATCAAATGACACTATTAAATCTTCTGATAAAGGTGAACCATAAATATTAACAATAACTTTAAGAGACAAAATTGGAAATGCTAAAGAAATATTATTCAACTTACTATTTTAAATATAGCTCAAGATAATTTTCTTAAGTTTCTAACAATTTTTTCGGTAATTTTGCTGTGAAATTCTTGCTTAGTCTAAAGATTATGCAGTAATTCTTTTCCAACTGACAGAAGAATTACAACCTTCTGCGGCTTTCGTAGCAGCGACCTAAAGGAGTTAGTAGTAGTAGGGAACAGTAATACCCTCATGTAGTTGTAGGTAGTAGTAATACCCCTCTGTAGTAGGGAGAATACCACTCAGTAGTAAGGAGTAATATCCCTCAGTAGAGAGGGAGGAAGAACCGTAAGTTCTACTGTCTCTGTCCAGATCTGTAAGGAAAGAATCCCTTCATATTAATGAAAATAAATATTATTGAACGTTAAACTTCAGCATCATAACACTAATCACAGCACATCGGACTGACCTGACTTCTGTTTACAAGGATTATGAAAAAAATGAGTTAAAGAAAGTCTGAGAATAAATGGTATAAAATACCGACACAATGGAAACATAAACACATATGCAGCATTCTCCACCTGACCTCAACATTCTGAACCCGACTATAAATACTCCCGTACCTTCCACCCCAGGTAGATCTGTGTGTGACTTGAAAAAGTCCACTGTGTGGGCGAAACGTTGTCAATAAAGGATCACATTAAACTGCATATGTGTTTATGTTTCCGTTAAAGAAAGTCTAAATATCGGTCTTCGTCTCACACGTGGCAGCGACGTCATTTTTGCCCTTCAAGATGGCGGAAGACAATGCAACGCCCCCCCCCCTCAAGGAAGGTTCCTTGATGGAAATAAATGGTATAAAATACCGACACAATGGCAATATAAACACAAATGCAGTATAATGTGATCCTTTATTGACTACGTTTCGCCCACACAGTGGGCTTTTTCAAGTCACAAACAGAACTACCTGGGGTGGAAGGAACGCGAGTATTTATAGTCCGGCTGAGGTCAGGTGAAGAATGCTGCATCTGATGATGTACCGAGTTGGGTTGTAGAGTCTAAAAACTTGGGTAGCTTGGAAAGGAGACTGGACAAGTTTGTGAGCAGACCTTCTACAGTGTTCTTATGTGGGATAGCGATGAAGAAGTTTCTTGGCAAGTGGTTCAGCTATGTTATAGAAGCCACTATTCTGGTTGAAGTTGTCGGATATAGAAATAAGTGATGATTCCAGGATTCTTCGGTATTGAGTGTTGTCTTCTGTGGCGATAAGTCTTGAGTTTCTGTAGTTTATCAAGACTTATCGCCACAGAAGACAACACTCAATACCGAAGAATCCTGGAATCATCACTTATTTCTATATCCGACAACTTCAACCAGAATAGTGGCTTCTATAACATAGCTGAACCACTTGCCAAGAAACTTCTTCATCGCTATCCCACATAAGAACACTGTAGAAGGTCTGCTCACAAACTTGTCCAGTCTCCTTTCCAAGCTACCCAAGTTTTTAGACTCTACAACCCAACTCGGTACATCATCAGATGCAGCATTCTTCACCTGACCTCAGCCGGACTATAAATACTCGCGTTCCTTCCACCCCAGGTAGTTCTGTTTGTGACTTGAAAAAGCCCACTGTGTGGGCGAAACGTAGTCAATAAAGGATCACATTATACTGCATTTGTGTTTATATTGCCAAGGTTCCTTGATGTTGGTGAGGGGCTCTTGATTTGGGGAATTGGATCTGTACTCCAGTTCCCCGAATTAAGCCTGAATGCCTTCCACATCCCCCCCCAGGCGCTGTATAATCCTATGGGTTTAGCGCTTCCCCTTGATTATAATAATAAAAATAATAATGCAACGCCAATGTTGCGTAATCCAAAGACACATTTCCAGGTAACAAATGGTCCTGTAAAAGTCTGGACCGAAACATCGACCTTACTTTCCTTTTAAGTACGGGTAATTTGTGTACGGTTCCAGCTATGCTACTGTGACATTTTTATTCTAAACAGAACCTCCAGCAAAGATATAATTTCATTTTATGGGGAAGATTTATTTATGGTAAATAATACTTTACTACCCATAAATGTACGCCACTGGATGTGAGGCTGAGCCAGTCATATGTACGTAACATGAGAGAGAGGAATCACTTATGTGCTCGTAACGTGAATGACATAAGAGGACCAGCTTCAACATTTTACTGACCTGCCCTTGTGGCTTAGCGCTTCTTTTTGATTATAATAATAATTTACTGACCTTCATAAATGCTTATGAAGGTCTGCCTCACAAAGGTAATCAAGCTAGCATTGACAAAATAAACCACTATTATTGATGGTACCCTCAAAAGTGACCTTTTATATAGGCTGGTTTCGCAAAAGTGATTTATCAGGACTAATACACACAAAAGTGACCCTTATCAAGACTGGCACCTACAAAAGTAACCTGTATCAAGAATGGTGCCCACAACAGCGACCTTTATCAAGGCTGGCACCTACAAAAGTAACCTGTATCAAGGCTGGTACCCACAACAGCGACCTTTATCAAGACTGGCACCTACAAAAGTAACCTGTATCAAGGCTGGTGCCCACAACAGCGACCTTTATCAAGGCTGGCACCTACAAAAGTAACCTGTATCAAGGCTGGTACCCACAACAGCGACCTTTATCAAGACTGGCACCTACAAAAGTAACCTGTATCAAGGCTGGTACCCACAACAGCTACCTTTATCAAGGCTGGTACCCACAACAGCGACCTTTATCAAGGCTGGTACCCACAACAGCGACCTTTATCAAGGCTGGTACCCACAACAGCGACCTTTATCAAGGCTGGTACCCACAACAGCGACCTTTATCAAGGCTGGTACCCACAACAGCGATCTTTATCAAGGCTGGTACCCACATCAGCGATCTTTATCAGGGCTGGTACCACAACGCGACCTTTATCAAGGGTGGGACCCACAACAGCGACCTTTATCAAAGGTGGTACCCCCCAACACGACCTTTTTCAAGCTGGTCCCATAAGGACCTTTACAAGCTGGTACCCCCAACGCGACCTTTTTCAAAGGGTGGACCCACAACACGACCTTTATCAAGGCTGGGACCCCAACAGCGATCTTTATCAAGGGTGGGACCCACAACAGCGACCTTTATCAAGCTGGGGACCCACAAAGCGCCCTTTATCAAGGCTGGGACCCCCAACAGGCCTTTATCAAGGGTGAACCCACAACAACCCTTTATCAAGGCGTACCCCCAACACGACTTTTTCAAGCTGTTTTTTTTTCCCACAACAGGACCTTTAAAGGCTGGGGACCCCAACACGACCTTTATCAAAGGGTGGGACCACAACAGCGACCTTTACAGGCTGGACCCACAACACGACCCTTTTTCAAGGCTGGGACCCAAACACGTCTTTATCAAGGGTGGTACCCACAAACGACCTTTATCAAGGTGGGGGCCCACAACGCGCCTTTATAAGCTGTACCCACAAAACGACCTTTATCAAGGGTGGTACCCCCCAAAAGCATTTTATCAAAGGGGGTACCCCCAACAAAGCGACTTTTTCAAGGTGGACCCCCACAGCGACCTTTTTCAAGGGAGGTACCCACAACAGCGACCTTATCAAAGGGTGGTACCCACAAAAAAGCGACCTTTATCAAGGCGGCCCAAACAGCGACCTTTTCAAGGGTGGGACCCACTACAGCACCTTTATCAAGGTGGGACCCCCAACAGCGACCTTTACAAAGGGTGGTGCCCCCAACAGCGACCTTTACAAAGGGTGGCCCTACAAAAGAACCCGTATCAGGGTGGTACCCACAAAAGCGACCTTTTTCAAACTGGCATACAAAAAAACCTGATCAAAAGGGGACCCCCAAAAGCACCCTTTATCAAAGGGTGGACCCCCAACAGCGACCTTTATAAGGCTGGTACCCACAACACGACCTTTATCAAGGCTGTACCCACAAAAGCGACCTTATCAAAACTGGTACCACAAAAACGACCTTTTTCAAGGCTGTACCCACAACACGATCTTTATCAAGGGTGGTCCCACATCACGATCTTTTTCAGGGTGGTACCCCAAACGCGACCTTTTTCAAGGGGTGGTACCACAACAGCGCCTTTTTAAAGGGTGGGACCCCCCAAAAGCGACCTTTATCAAGGCTGGTACCCACACAGTGACCTTTATCAAGGCTGGTACCCACAAAAGCGACCTTTATCAAGGCTGGTACCCACAACACGCCTTTATCAAGGGGTGGGACCCACAACGCGATCTTTATCAAGGGTTTGGACCCAACACGACCTTTACAAATGGTACCCCCAAAAAACGCCTTTTTCAAGGCGGTACCCACAACAGCGACCTTTTCAAGGGTATAACCCCACAACAGCGACCTTATCAAGGTGGGACCCCAACCGGACCTTTATCAAGTGTTACCCACAAAACCCACCCCTTTTTCAAAGGGGGTACCACAACAGCGACCTTTAACAAGGCTGGGACTCACAAAACGACCTTTTTCAAGGCTGGTACCCCCAACACGACCTTATCAAGGCTGGGGACCCCAACAGCGTCTTTATCAAAGGGTGGTACCCACAACAGCGACCTTTATCAAGGCTGGTGCCCCCAACGCGACCTTTATCAAGGTGGTACCCCAACCGACCTTTTTCAAGGCGGTACCCACAACAGCGATCTTTTTCAAGGTGGACCCACAACAGCGACCTTTATCAAGGCTGGTACCCACTACAGCGACCTTTATCAAGTTTTACCCCAACAGCACCCTTTATCAAGGCTGGACCCCCAAAAAGCGACCTTACAATGGTACCCAAAAACAGGACCTTATCAAGGCTGGGACCCACAACAGCGACCTTTTTTAAGGCTGTACCCAAACAGCGACCTTTCAAGGTGGTACCCCAAAAACGACCTTTACAAGGGGTACCCACAAACCCACCTTTTTCAAGGCTGGACCCCAACAGCGATCTTTTTCAGGCGGTACCCACAACGCGACCTTTATCAAGCTGGTACCCCCAACAGCGCCTTTATCAAGGGTGGTACCCACAAAAGCGACCTTTTCAAGGCGGTACCCCACAACGCGACCTTTATCAAAGGGTGGTACCCACAACAGGGGCCTTTAAAAGGCGGTACCCACAAAAGCGACTTTATCAAGGGTGGGACCCACAACGCGACCTTTATTAAGGGTGGACCCACAACAGCGACCTTTATCAAGGCTGGTACCCCCCAAAAGCCACCTTTTCAAAGGGTGGGACCCACAACAGCGACCCTTTTTCAAGGCTGGACCCCCCAACAGCGACCTTTATCAAGGCTGGACCCACAACGCGACCTTTTTTTAAGGCTGGGGACCCCCCAACGCGACCTTTTCAAGGCTGGGACCCCAACAGCGACCCTTTTCAAAGGGTGGTACCCAAACAGCGACCTTTATCAAGGCTGGTACCCCAACAGGACCTTTATCAAGGCTGGTACCCCCAACACGACCTTATCAAGGCTGGGACCCACAACAGCGACCTTTTTTAAAGGGTGGTACCCCCAAAAAGGACATTAATCAAGGCTGGTCCCCCAACACGACCTTAAACAAGGGTGGGCCCCAAAAAGTGACCTTTATCAAGGCTGGTTTCCCACAAAAAGCGACCTTTTTTCAAGGGTGGTACCCACAACAGGACCTTTACAAAGGGTGGTACCCCAAAGCGCCTTTATCAAGGCGGACCCAA